AGGCACACCTACTTTATATGGTGAGTCTTAACGTTTTTCAAATTTGCCTGGTGAATTACAGTGCTCATTCAGAATTACTCAGCTAATAACAATACTTGGTTAAAATTACCCAACAATCATAGTGGCCAAACAAACTTTCATGATCACTACATTTGATCAACCTGCTTAGTCTGCACTTAAGACGACATAAATGCATCCTTTCATGAGTGATACTTAGTTACATTCGCAAGTTCAACCTAAGTCCTGTTATCTTAATTATACTCTTTATTTCTCATTACTAGCCATGACTTGCATTTGTTTATAACAACTTAGCATCTAGACAAGAGGAGAAATATATTTACAACCATATTTTGTCATAAATATGGCTGCTTTCAGAAAATAAACATCATAAGAAACATCCTTGATAATCTGCAATGAATCTTAATAATTAACAGCCTCTTACATCCCTGATCATGATCTCTGAGCAACCATGCATTACATGAGCCAATTAAGGAGATGGTTCATGATAAAATTTGATTTCCAACAATGATATGATCAGACCATGTAAGCTGCACACATGACTCAAAGGTTTTATGTCCTGCTTTCACGGGACAAAGTCAGTTTTATCAAGCATTGCATATGATTCGTAATTGCAGGAAGTTTGTTGCGAGTCATGCGAGAAATAATGAGACCATCAGTTTGACCTTATGAAGAATTTGGGTTACCATATCCTTCCCCCGGCATCCACGTCATCAGGGAAGTCATCGGACGTGACTACGCGAGGGCAGCGTGACAACAGCAGTTAGCCTAATTGAGCACATTCTGTAGAACAATAACAAGGAGGGAACAAGACACCTCTATGATATAGGTTAATTCACCAAACCTGAAAATATATAACATGTATCTGTTTCCATGAAGCTCTCACACCAGTGGCATCACTTACACTGTGGGCCATACAGACAATCTTTGAAGTTGGTGAACTACTCTAATCACAAGATCTGCTACACAATGGTAAGTTTACATGGCTTTCAATAACAAAGATTTTTTACACACACACTTTTCATTTTCATAATTACTGTATCTAGCATTATTCTCTCTCAAGAGAGCTACATGTTATCAAGAATTTTAGCCATTGCCAAAGTTTTCCTTCCTCACTTGTGCAAGTAACATTCTTTATGAAATATCTATTAAATTGCCATGGAACCCTACCATCTGCGGTTCATACTGTATATACAACAAATGCACGCAGCAAAAAATAGATATATGTATATATATATATTTATATATATATAGTAGTCCAACAAAACATAAGCCAATGTAATGATACCGAATACACATTATTATGCTTTAGTCTTGCTAATACAAGCAATCCATAATATTTTACTGGAAATCATCCTGCCTTTGTTATTTATATCTTACAATACAAATTCATAACCATTTCTAGTTTGTTACTTTTTCAAACTGATGGACTATCCTCGTACCCATTCACATGCAGGGGTACTCTATTCAGAATGTTGCATTCAACACAAGACACTGTACATGAACAATAAGCCTGTCACATGGTACTGTTCGCATCTGCCCAAGGCCTTGCCACTATATATACAATTCCAGCTATGTGCTCCAATTCCCTCATGAATGGTGCAGGACTCAACAAGCACACAAAAGTGCTGATGTTGCATACACAGAGGCTACCTTTCACTCTGTTCATGTAAATGAACTACAGGAATAGAAGTCACCTATTCATATTCAATAATACATTTGAAAAGTCCATTACCAGAACTGATGTCTAATTACTGATAACCATTACAGAATGATCGATGTTCTGCTCCATACATAATGTACATATTTATCTTAGCCAAACATATCTCTCCTTAGTTATAAGGCAGATAATACTGTATATTGCAAGACAGGCCAAAACAAATTTTATGTATAAAGAGTAAGTTTATATATCTTTAATAGCAACCAATAATTAGAGCTGATGATTGACTTTGCATGCAGTCTATGTGCCTCACTTCATGCACTGGAGTGCTTACTGTATAGGTCTATAAATGACTCTAAGTACTCTATCACAAGTCTTGTATTTGAGACTAAAAATATGGATATCATGGCATCATGTAAGTTTGTAAGCTGCAGTGATGCAGTTAGACTGCAAGATACACTCCCACAAACATTGCTTTGTGGCACCACTGAACTACTAAATGTTTCCAAAAATAAACAAATAATTATTAGACCCAAACTAGTAAATTGTTTAGTGAAAACAAGGAAATGTGTATGGAATGTCATTCCAAATGCCTATTCAAAATTTTTGAATCTTAAAATATTGATACTCCAAATAGGCACTCAGAATCATGGCCATCCAATATAACCTTGTCCTAAAAAATAAATCTGTTCAAAAGAGAAGATAAAAAAAAAAGGAAAAAACTAATACACCAACTAGATTGGTCAATGAAAGTTGTAACCTTGGCCACGTGATTTTATAAAATTCTAATAAAATCGGACGAGATGCCTCTAAGTGTTATTCGTAAGTCTAGCATAGCATCTATAGTACTGTAATATATGGACTACTATCGTGAAAGGATGTTACACCGATATACTTGTTGAAAAATCTTTACATAGATTGGGCATCTTACAAGACAACTGCAGACTGTAAGGGTTTATGGGATTCTACTAGCAATTTCTGTAAATTAATGCTTTTTTATTATGTTTGTCATTCAACTAACAAGATGTGAATTTGGATAATTTGGAAGTTCATCTCTGAAATCATTGAATTTAAAAATTCCAATGATATAGTTAATAAGCTATAACCAGCATATCAAAACATACAGATGGTGAAATTTTCTAAGAAATAAATGTTTTGAGTAAAATCACGAAACTGAGTTCATGTATTTTACGGCCAAAAATATGTTTTCTCTATTATTCCAGACAAAATCTCACCAGATGTACTTCTTTGTATGTTGATTTAGAATAATTGATAAAAAATCATAATATTTCAAATAATTCCACATATAATCAACATGCCCAATTGTGTAATAGGTGTCACAGTGTTCCAGTGTTGGAAACAGGAAGCCTGTTGGGCTTATGAGGTCCCTGTAGGCCAATATCTGACTTTTCCCAGGAAGCAACGCACAGCAGGTCCCTACCTACCCGCTACTTGTGTGTTGCAGGGTGAAAACAAGCATAGGAGTAAGGAAATGCACACATTCGTTTCATCCCACATTTAGAGTCAAACTATGACCTTCTAGCTATAAGCCAACTGCAATGACCACTGTAACAAAGATCATGTATGTAAAATGCCCCTGTAATTATTGTAATACCTGCTCTAATTCTATCATCTAAAAAATAATAATAGGGTGATAGAAGAAAAATGCTCAAGCCATAAGATTTTCTTTAAATAAACAATAAGAGTTTCTTTAAATGCTCACTCATTTTCTTCATAGATTCTATGAATCATCACAACCTTACCAGTGGTGGTAAAGGCCAAGCGTTAGCAAAACCGAGAGAAAGAACCAATAATGAAAAAAGGGGTGTACCATTATGCTCTTCAAGGAAGTGATTTTATATTCGGATACAGATATGTATGTACAGTGCTGTACATTATATGTATCTATTGATGCCTGTGTGTGAGAGATACAATAGTACATTTCTTTACTAACTTGAGAGTACTGTGTAGGTATACTATAATTTCAGAGTTAATTTCTACAATACTAAAATGAATATGAAGAAATTAAAAATAAGATATAATATATATATATATATATATATATATATATATATATATATATATATATATATATATATATATTATATATATATATATATATTTATTATATATATATATATATATATAAAATGATTTAAGCTACAAATTTAAGCTTATATTTAAGCTACAAATTCCAAGTAATTTTATCTTCAAGAAACGTACAGTATTAATGTATACATCGTATGTGTATTATTTATTTTTCGCTGCAACAAGTTCACAACGCTAGCTTGTTGTGCTAGTTCAATTAACTTCCCTATCAAAAGCTTTTTAAATAATAAATAATTGTAATATTAGCATAAAAATCAATCGATTTATAAACAGTGTTATTTATGTTCAGTAACTGTTTACTCACATGGGACCCACATTCCAGTAAGCTGCTGCTTGTTCACTGTGGCCCCTATTACCTGAGTTTTACTGTAAAGAAGTTTCAAACAAGTCATCGCACAAAGTTGCTGAAATGAAAAAATTTCCTTTCAAGCAACATCCTCTCACATAAAATACAAGTTTATCAAGATGTGGCAAATTCTTCAACTTCCTCTCGTCCAACCTCGTCAGTATTATATATTATAAAAGTACGTATGTGTTAACTCAGTAGTATATGTATGTGTGTGTGTGTGTGTGTGGCCGAGCTGAAATTTGACTATTCTAAATATCCCAGCAGTAGTAAGCTCAGCATGTTTTATGTACTGACTGCAAAATAGTTACATGGATAACAAGAAATCAACAGAATATTAACACTTTGTATTCATGATACCTGTTGAGTGAGGTAGAGACAAGTATAGGTAGATTGGGAATAAACAAAAAAATTTCAAGCACATAAAAACCTGTACACAATGTTGTAATACACTTCAGTTGTTTAGTTTATGGCCGGAGTTGGATGTACAAATCATTGTCACTTGGGAACTTTTATATGCAAATTTCTACTTCTATGTTTTACAGCAATATTAAGCATCATATCCAGTTTGCTTCAACGCCAAAAATAAGAATTTTGCACACATGAAACTCCTAGAGCGAGGATTTGGGCAGTATGCGAGATGGTCACTATGATAAATGTCACATTGGCTCAAAGCTACAACAATAAACATTATCTAGTAATGATCTCTACAGCTGTAACATATAGCACGAACCCACTTGCACTACATATTATATATATATATATATATATATATATATATATATATATATATATATATATATATATATATATATATATATATATATATATATATATATATATATATATATATATAACATATATATACAGTATATATATATATGTAATGGTCAAGTAAGAAATTCTCTAAATGCCCAAGAGTTAAGGAGCAGCTCCCAGCGAGTTGCCATGGTCAGGCTCGTGGTAGTTCGACAAGCTGTTTTCTGACTCGTGAAGAGATGAATGGGATGGCGCTGGAGACGTTAAGAGCGAGGAGATTGGAGACGTTATGCTTGAAGTTAGACTCACACCGACTCCACTGCTACCAGTGCTACTGTTGCTAATGCTTTGAATTTCTTCTTTGTACGGAAGGGGAGAGAAAAGTGCATGAAAGCCACTGTTATAATGGTCACTAAGAGGGGCTGGACTATATGGTGGTTGTGGATATAAAGGTGCATTGAGATATGCACCTTCATCTAAAGGAGACTGACGGTGATCTGGATACGGAGTTTCTGGTAGATGCTGGTCCAGCAAGTAGCTCTCTTGATTGGGGATGTATGGTGCCGGAGATGGGGCTAGGTTCATAGCATGAGGGGATGGGCTGGATATTTCAATGGGACTCTGAGACATCTCTAAAGACTGAGGAGAGTTCATAAATGTTCCTGGTGGTTTCATGTCTTGATAATGATTAAGTAGATTGTTGGAGGATGTAATGATATGAGTTACAGTTGAATTTGGACTATGGCTCATGCTATGAGAAATATCTAGCATAGTGTGAATAGATTGGCTCAGATTTGGAGACTGCAGCATCCCAGGAGATGATGAGGGTAGAAGTATGCTATGTGGTGACTCCATCATACTTTGTGGGGACATCATGCTCTGCGGTGATTGCAAAATGCTGTGTGGTGATGGCAGCATGGAATGGGGTGACTGTAACATACTATGGGGCGACTGCACCATACTCTGTGGAGAGTGACATGGGAGTGGAGGGGAATGGACAAGAGAGCTGCTTTCATGAGTAAGATGTGCTGGAGGAGCTTCAGATTCCATAGTCTGCAACATTTGTTTCATTTGTTCCAAGCCATTGCCTTGAAGCATTTGCTTCATCTGTTCAATATCCATTCCATTCAGCATCTGTCTTATCTGCTCACCTGTCAGGGCTTCCACTTTACTTTTTACATCCATGGCAAGAGCCGCAGTATTTTCATTAAGATGATGCACGTGATTTGTATTACCTCCTAATGCTGTTTTTTGCCGCAATGCCATACTTTCAAAAAGTTCAGAATGGCGACGTAAGCCTTGAAGAGAATGCATAAGACCATCATAGAGAGCTTTCCCAGATGTGTCTCCAAATTTCCAGTATGTGTAATGCTGCAAGATTCTCTGGTATATATCTTTGTTAGCATCTTGACCCTCATAACCCAAGACAATAATAAGAACAAGGAGGTATGCCATCCTTGAATCAATATTGAATTGACCAAGAGAACAAAGTATTTCTTTGAATTTATTGAATACCTCTGGAGATTGTGATTTCTGGATCATATCCAAGTTGGTGACCATAGGCTGAGAAGGACTATGCAGATTGTGGTAGTTGCCTGTTTCCTCATTCACGAAGCTTGAACCAAACACAAGAGCAATAACAGTGATATTCTTCTTTATTGCCAGACCCTGAGCTTGTGGAGAGAGTGAAGTAAACTCATGAAACTGACGAAGAAACCGAGTTATTCTCTCAGCAAAACGTTTGTATGATGCCATTACCTCCATTGGTTTGTCTGTACAGTATGGCAACTGTTGGTCAACTAATTTTATGTTACTGATTACACGTGTCAAAATTTCAACCTCACCCGAGTCCAAGTAATGTGATGCTGGATTAAAGACACGATCAACTGGCATAACTTCTTCTTCACTTTCTCTTTTAATTCCTCTGCACAGCTCTCTGACAGGACTCTCTTGTTTGGGCGAGATGTGATGGCGTTGGATGATTTCAGATGTTTGGTGCACTGTGGGAGGAGGAATTGGTCCGTACTGTATTGGTGTGAGAGGTCCAGATACAGGGGTAGATGGAGAACTGTTTGGTGATGAGCCAGTAGATCCCAAGTCTACAGGCTGAGTTGGTGAGTGGTATGTCAGTGATGAGCTGCTACTACTACTACTATACCGTGATGATAAATTTTTTGAGGAGGAACTATTGGAGTATGCTGAGCTCTCTTTAGAACATTCATTTGGAGAATAAGAGTCAGAGGAAGATCCCCGTCCACCACCACCACCACCACCACCACCACCACCACCACTTTCACTTCTTCCACCTCCACTGCCACTACTTCCTACACTACTAGAGCCCCCTTGCTGATACATCATCCTCTTCGTGAGTCTTGTCTTCATCAGCTGCAGGCGTTCATCTTCACTCATCACCCAGGACTTGGTCATTCCAATGCTCTCACATTTGGCAAATCTATTGAGAATTAAAAGGCAAATCAGATTATTTTACATAAAATCATATCCTTGTAAACAAATTATGATTAGTGCCAAAAATATGCAGGTGCCAAAATTAGCAGTTTGTTATCTTACTATATATTAAGATACTATATATTAAGATTTATGCAATAATATTCACAATAAATGAAGAAAAGTTATTATAGACAACGAAAGGGTCTGACAAAGGACATAATGTAAACAGAAAAATATATTGCAAGATTTTTGTTTTCATATTTTCACAGAGCATGTTGTGAAATATGGAAATGAAGAACTAATTTTAAAATAAATAATAAATTTGGTAATACTATATACAGGATAGAGTAGTGCAAGGGAAAGGTTAAGAAAATAAAACACTGATAGATAGAATAGATTGATTTAATAAACGTTTATGAAATTAGTCAATGGGAGGTAATGCTCAAGATGAGCTCTGGGGAGGGAAAGCTTTATGCCTTCTAACAAGGATAAAAAATCATCTGCACCAGTATCCTACTATAAAAAAAAACTAAATGCAGTCAGAGTGTCGAGTAAAATGTCGAGCCTCTTTACGAGAGGAAGCTCGGTAGCTCTCCTTACCAGTGAACCTGACTAAGCTCTAAGCAACTTTGAGCATCAGAAGGACAAGTATTCACTGCAATTTGTTTTGTTGTCCCCCCCCTCCCTTAATCCACAGAAATGGGCAAAATAGTCTTCAACTAAAACATCTAGTGAAGTGGTTGGGAAACTGTGCAAGCAGAATCTAAAACCAAAGAGAGCAGGAGCATACAGGACCCTGTTCAGGAACTCTGGAGCTTCTCCAGATACTAAACATTTAAAATGGAAAACCTCCTTCCAGCCCAGGACCGACTAATGATAAAAGATACATCACTTGCCTATGAGGAGGCAGGAACCTAATACCATAACTAGGAAGTAGCAGAGGAGCCAAACTCTGATCATCTGTAAGACAGGTCTAGATCAGATGTGTGCTCCCTACTTCGCAAAAGATATAATAACAACAAATTCCACCATGCTTGATTAGAAGGCAAGAGAATGCATTTGCAAAATGGATATGTCTGGCCCATCCAACAGAAACACAAAATGCTGCCTAACGAGGACCTGAGGAAGCCTTACACTCAAACTGGGATAGAGGGTAAACAATCTCTCTGCCCTAGAGATAGGTCCAATTTGACCCAGTCACCAACACTCAAGAAGGGAAAAAATAAACCAAGAGGCCCCCAAATTTATCCTCAGATCAGACACCATCTGCTCCCAATAAGGAAGATGGGCCATCCTCTAAACCTGACCCAAGAGCTGACTTCAAACACAGGGTAGAATAAAAATGCAAAGTGCAGATAAGGAAGTCCTTAGATTTAGTCTGGGACAATAACACAAGCCATACGAAGAAGGGATAAGATGAGCTCCCTCCTCCCTTTAACCCTTTATTTGGTAGGGTCACCACCTGGTAGTGGCTAGGATAGCTGAGTGACAGTATTTCACTTCTTTTTAGAAGGTTGTTTGACGACTCAGTGCTGCAAAACATCTTATGGAGGAAGCTTGAGTGTTTTGTGACATTTCTGTGTATTATAGCAAGTGGTTTGCCTCAGTTGCGTGATGGATCTTTGCTCTATACAAGCTCCGTGTCCTACTAAGGCGACAGAGTACATTTTGAAAAAGTTCCTGTACAGTACTCGATCGAGATGGAAGTCATCCAATGCCGAATATGATCATATTGTCCCTGGGTGGTTTGAGCCACAACCCCTAGGACAGCTTTTGACTTGCCAATAGCAAGTTGCAAGAAAATCTTATTGGTAATCAACAATTAAAGCTACTTTGCAGAATATAAAGGTGAAAACTGTATACAGTAGTTCAGCCATAATTAAAAATATTACAATCTGAAATTAGATAAAGGAGACAACTTAACAATGCAATTCATATGTGAAGCATTTATAGTCATATTTCAAGTGAAGCCGATCTATATAAATAAAAATGGAAATGTTCGTTTGTTCAAAATCGCTAATCTCCAAAAGTTCTTCATCGATTGCCTTCAAATTTTCACACAACGTTCCCTTCGCATCCGAGCGGGTTTTTATATACAGTACATACTATATAGATGTCACATCTGTGATGGGAAAAAAACTGCTTTTTTTGAAAAGCTGTGTTTTTCGGGGGGTTTTCATGTGAGGGAAATCTTCGAAACCTCTTTACTGATTGCTTTGAAATTTTTATGCAACATTGCATTCGAATAGGCAAGTGTTTTTACATACCCTACTATATACATGCCTCACCTGTGACAGGAAAAACATGCTTTTTTTGAAAAACAGCGTCATCTGCACGACGTAAGAGCAATACACGCTGTAATCTCCGAAAGTTCTTCACCGATTGCTTTGAAATTTTGAAACAACGTTCCTTTCAAATACGTGCGTGTTTTTATATACCTACTATTTAGATGCCACACCTGTGACAGGTAAAAACATGCGTTTTTTGAAAAACAGCGCCATCTGTTGCACGCAAGAGCAACACACGATATACAAAATAGGTTATGATCCAATTTCAATGTTTCTGATTGCATTGATAAATTGAATTTTCATAGATTTTTATTTATTTTTATTTTTATTTAATTATTTTGTGTGACGTTGCATTGGAATTGAGCTGTGTTGTTTACCATACCGTTCATGTCGTGGGTACAGCTTATTTGTTTCTTTTTTCATTGTTTTCATTTCGTTTTTATAACTGTTCTTATTTTTCAGTGCAATTGGTGGCGAATTTGAGCTGTGTCGATTGATCTGCATTTGAATTGAAATATTTCGTTAGTATTTTTTGTTTTGGTTTTGAAAACAAGAAAATGGACAACACGTTTATTTCACGGCTGGAAATGTACAACAAACAGCTATGAATCCACCGGCTACAACGTTAACCGCTATATCCGTCGAATATGAAGGAAAATTCAAATACGAACATGGATTTCACAGCGCTTAGTATTTTAAAAGCACAGAATCACCTTCTGTGGTTGATTGTGCAATAAATCCCTGAACTATATGTTTAACACATCTTTAACCCTGTCCATGGAGGACAGAAGAAAATGTATATATGCTGGTTAGCATTGTAAATGTGTGGCCACGTCTGTGGTAGAAAATAATAATAATAAAAAAAATTGCGAACTAAGTTCTAAATCAATTGGAAATGCCATCACTAAATCGATCTGCTGCTGCTTCATTCGATGTAGAATTTCGTCGTGGACATAATTACAACATGAGTGATCTGTTGTTGTATGTGTAATCAAATATTCCTAAGCAAACGCTTGAGCAAAAAGGCATTTACAATCAAATAATTCAAACTGTCAATAACGGGTTAGGAGAAATCTTCTTAGATGTGCCAGGAGGAACTGTAAATCCTTCCTAATTAGATTGATTCTGGCAGCATTTTGATCCCAAAATGGCATAATCTTAGCTCTTGCATCGTCCGAAATAGCTGCGACATTGTTACCAGGTGGAAGAACTGCTACTTCGGCTTTGAAATTGCCATTGAACATGCAATTCATTGAAACTCCCACGTGCAACATTTCCAAAGCATCCGGCATGGGAAAAGTATTGTAGAAATGTAAACTTATTGTTTGGGATGAATGCACAATGGCCCACAAAAAATCGCTCGAGGCACTTGATCAATCATTGCAAAATTTGAGTGGAAATATCAGACCATTTGGGAACGTATTAATATTGCTTGCAGGAGATTTTAGGCAAACATTACCTGTAATTCCTCGATACAAGTCCATCGACACTGTTGAGAAAGCAGATGAAGCGGTTAGTTATCCAACACAATTTTTTAATTCACTCGATCTGCCAGGGATACCATCACACGTATGACAATTGAAAATCTGCGTGCCAATTATCATGTTGCGAAATATCAATCAACTAAATCTTTGCAACGCCATGCACCTTGCAGTAAAAAAATTAATCAGCAACGTCGTAGAAGCGACAATCTTGACAGGACCTTTCAAAGGTGAAGATGTCTTCATTCCTTGCATTCCTATGATTCCAACAGATATGCCGTTTCAACTTATGATATTGTAATTTCCAATTCGATTGGCGTTTGCAATCACCATCAACAAAGCTCAGGGCCAATCTTTAGAAGTGTGCAGTTTATATCTAGACACAGAATGCTTCTCATAGGGACAATTATATGATGCGTGTTCAAGAGTCGGCAAAGCAGACAATCTCTATATCTCCACAGACAATGGAACAAAACATATTGTATACCCACAAGCATTGTGAAATTAAACATATTTGAAATGTGCGCTTTCTCTTTTCTTTCTTTTCCATTTAACCAGACTGGGCCACAGCAACGCGTGGCGGGTACAGCTAGTTTATATAAATAAAAATGTAAATGTTCGTTTGTTCAAAATCGCTCATCTCCGAAAATTCTTCACCGATTGCTTTGAAATTTTCACACATTGTTCCATTCACATCCGAGTGGGTTTTTATATACATATTATATAGATGTCACGTCTGTGACGAGAAAAAAACATGTTTTTTTTTGGAAAACTGTGCTTTTCATGTGAGGGAAATCTTCGAAACCTCTTTACCGATTACTGTGAAATTTTGACACAAAGTTGCATTCGAATAGATGCGTGTTCTTATATACTTACTATATACATGCCTTACCTATGACAGGAAAAAAACATGCCGTTTTGAAAACAGCGCCATCTGTTGGAGGTAAGAGTAACACACTGTAATCTCCGGAATTTCTACACCGATTGCTTTGAAATATTGATACAATGTTTCATTCAAATAGGTGTGTGTTTTTGTATACCTACTATATAGATGCCACACCTGTGACAGGTAAAAACAATTTTTTTTTTTTAAACAGCACCATCTGTTGCATGTAATAGCAACACACGCTATACTAAATATGTTACGATTCCATTTCAATGTTTCTGATGGAATTGATAAATTGAATTTTCATAGATTTCGATTTATTTACATTTTGATTTAATTATTTTGCGTGACATTGCATTGGAATACATTTGTGTTGTTTACCATACCGTTCATTTTGTAAGTATAAGTATAGATACCACATGCAAGTGATGAGTCACAATAATGTGGCTGAAGTATGTTGACCACACCACACACACTAGAAAGTGAAGGGACGACAACATTTCGGTCCATCCTGGACCATTCTCAAGTCAATTGTGGGAATGGTTTCTCAATCATTCATTCTCACAATCGACTTAAGAATGGTCCAAGACGGACCGAAACATCGTCGTCCCTTCACTTTCTAGTATGTGGTCTGGTCAACATAGATGCCACACCTGTGACAGGTAAAATCATTCTTTTTTTTAAGAAACAGCATCATCTGTTGCATGTAGGAGCAATACGGGCTATACTAAATATGTTACAATTCCATTTCAATATTTCCGATTGCATTGACAATTGGAATTTTAATAGATTTTGATTTATTTTCATTTTGATTTAATTATTTTGAGTGACATTGCATTGGAATTGAGCTGTGTTGTTTACCATACCATTCATTTTAGGAGTACATGTATAGATGCCACACCTGTGACATGTAAAAACAAGCTTTTTTTGAAAAACAGCATCATCTGTTGCATGTAATAGCAACACACGCTATACTAAATGTGTTACAATTCCATTTCAATGTTTCCAATTGCATTGATAAATTTAATTTTCATAGATTTTGATATATTTTCATATTGATTTAATTATTTTGTGTGACATTGCTCTGGAATTTAGCTGTGTTGTTTACCATACTGTTCATTTCATGAGTATAATTTATTTTATTTATTTTTTCATTGTTTTTCATTTCGTTTTTTAACTTTCTCTTATATTTCAGTGATGATAACATCAGATCATTTGATGTTCCCAATTTTCTGTTGGGAACATCAGATCATTTGGGAATGCATCGGATGAGGGAGTGGGGAATGGTGGGGATGATGAGGGGACGAGAGTGGGGGATGGTGGGGAGGACAAGGGGACAGGGGAGGGGGTGATGGTGGGGAGGACGAGGGGACAGGGAAGGGGATAATGGTGGGGAGGACGATGGGATAGAGGAGTTTGGGATGGTGGGAATGAGGGGACAGGAGAGTGGGGGATGGTGGGAAGAACGAGTGGAGGGGGAATGGCAGGGAGGACGAGGGGAGTAGGAGATGGTGCGGAGGACGAGGGGAGGGTGGAGTGGAGAATGGTTAGGACAAGGGGACGGTGGAGTGAGGGATGGTAGGGAGGACAAAGGGCCGGGGGAGGGGGGGGGGGGAGAATGGTGGGGAGGAAGAGGGGATGGGGGAGGGGGGAATGGTGGAGAGGACTGAGAGAAAGTGGGAAGGATGCTGAGCCACAGCAACGCGTGGCCGGGAACAGCTAGTAATTAATATTGAAAAAAGGCAGCAAACTACCAATAAGAAAGTGTTTTAAAATTATACAGTATACCAAATTCCCAGTACAGTATGAAAGAACAAACCTGCAATATTTGCAAAATTTCCTTGACGCAATAGAAATAGCACACTTCTGGTCGCCTCCACAGCGGAAGTGCTTGTAGGCATCATTTTGAACTGACCGTCGGAAAAAGGCCTTGCAAGAGTCGCACGACAGCCCCCCGAAGTGCAGAGATTTAGCAATGTCTCCACACACCTGCAGAACAATAAATAATACAATTAAATGCTCAATGAGAAACACACTTAAAGTGCAAATTTGGTTTATACATTATAAACTTAATGCACGAAGCCCCATATATATATATATATATATATATATATATATATATATATATATATATATATATATATATATATATATATATATAAAGGTGTTTAGGCACGTGGGGTTTGATCTCAGGGCAGGTACTACTATATGGACCATGATGAGCTAAATGCCTCTCAACCAGTGCCTGAGAGTTCAGGGACAATGATGCTTTGAGTCCATCATACTGCTTCAATCATGTCTCGTAGATATATTGTGCTTTTGTGATTTAATTGTAGATGTATATTCTTACAAGATTTCAAAGCTTGTAAGATTTGAAGCGACCATATGCAGACGACGAGACTCAATAACGTGGCTGAGGACAGGATGCCCAAACCACACACCACAAGAACCTACATTTTTTTTGGTTCATTTTTTGACGAGTGGTTTGGTCATTTTAACTCACTATAATGAGTGGTTTGGTCATTTTTTACTCACCATAATGAGTGGTTTGGTCATTTTAACTCACCATAATGAGTGGTTTGGTCATTTTAACTCACCATAATGAGTGGTTTGGTCATTTTTTACTCACCATAATGAGTGGTTTGGTCATTTTAACTCACCATAATGAGTGGTTTGGTCATTTTAACTCACCATAATGAGTGGTTTGGTCATTTGAACTCACCATAATGAGTGGTTTGGTCATTTGAACTCACCATAATGAGTGGTTTGGTCATTTGAACTCACCATAATGAGTGGTTTGGTCATTTTAACTCACCATATTGAGTGGTTTGGTCATTTTAACTCACCATAATGAGTCATTTGGGCTTTACTCTCCCTTTGTATATGTATAATGGACTGTATACAAAGTGTATTTAAAGGTATCTCCTGTATACAGTAGAATACAAGTGGGGCTTCCCCTAATTCACTGGCCAGAGTAGTATGCTAAATTCAACCTGTTCATTTGTGAACATGATGATCAATAGATAATATTGTACACACAGAAATCACAATAGCGTGATATATCAAACTGACTAAGGCGCACCTGGGAATATCCCATGCGTAGGTTCGAACTCTCATCAAGGCCCTTGTGGATTTCTGATAATACTGTATGTCTATAATGATCATTATTGAACACATTCCAGTCTGGCAGATGGAACTAACTTGGTAGGTGACTCTAAACTGGTAGATGTCAGACTCCTGGTAGATAACACTAGCCTGGTAGATAACAGTAGCCTGGCAGATAGCACTGAGCCTGGCAGATAGCACAAGCCTGGCAGATAGCACTGAGCCTGGCAGATAACACTAGTCTGGCAGATAGCACTGAGCCTGGCAGATAGCACTGAGCCTGGCAGATGGCACAAGCCTGGCAGATAGCACTGAGCCTGGCAGCTAGCACAAGCCTGGCAGATAGCACAAGCCTGGCAGATAGCACTGAGCTTGGCAGAGAGCACTGAGCCTGGCAGAGAGCACTGAGCCTGGCAGAGAGCACTGAGCCTGGCAGCTAGCACTGAGCCTGGCAGATAACACTGAGCCAGTACACGTCACTAACCTGACACAGCCGTACAGGCTTCCTGGAAGGCGTGTCGGCGCTGGTGGGCACAGCCGCTGGAGGGTTGCGGGGTACCACGGCCATCTTGACAGTGCCGCTGCCATTGCCGCCGCCACTGGCCATGCCTATCTCACTGTTTTCCTGGCCTCTGTGGGGAAGAAACAACTTTGTTAACAATATGCATAATGAGCACAAAGCTCTCGGCCACACTCGTGACCATGTTAGAGTAAGATCAGCCAGGCCAACCATCATACTTAAAATAACTAAACATGTGTATATATTTCTTGAAAAAGTACGACCCCAGTACCGAAATTCGCAGCTCCAGATTCACATTTCAGCCATTACCAGCGTCCGGTGCTCCAGTACGACCCACAGTCCCAGCGTCTGGTGCTCCAGTACGACCCCAGTCACAGCGTCCGGTGCTCCAGTACGACCCCCAGTCCCAGCGTCTGGTGCTCCAGTACGACCCCAGTCCCAGCGTCTGGTGCTCCAGTACGACCCCAGTCCCAGCGTCTGGTGCTCCAGTACGACCCCAGTCCCAGCGTCTGGTGCTCCAGTACGACCCCAGTCCCAGTGTCTGGTGCTCCAGTACGACCCCAGTCCCAGCGTCCAGAGCTCCAGTACGACCCCAGCCCCAGCGCCTGGTGCTCCAGTACGACCCCAGTCACAACGTCCTGAGCTCCAGTACGACCCCAGTCACAACGTCCTGAGCTCCAGTACGACCCCAGTCACAACGTCCTGAGCTCCAGTACGACCCCAGTCCCAGCGTCCAGAGCTTTAGTACGACCCCAGCCCCAGCGCCTGGTGCTCCAGTACGACCCCAGTCACAACGTCCTGAGCTCCAGTACGACCCCAGTCACAACGTCCTGAGCTCCAGTACGACCCCAGTCCCAGCGTCCAGAGCTCCAGTACGACCCCAGCCCCAGCGCCTGGTGCTCCAGTACGACCCCAGTCACAACGTCCTGAGCTCCAGTACGACCCCAGTCACAACGTCCTGAGCTCCAGTACGACCCCAGTCCCAGCGTCTGGTGCTCCAGGTGTGCTCCAGGTGTGCTCCAAGTATGCTCCAGGTGTGCTCCAGGTGAGCTCCAAGTATGCTCCAGGTGTGCTCCAGGTGTGCTCCAAGTATGCTCCAGGTGTGCGCCAAGTATGCTCCAGGTGTGTTCCAGGTGTGCTCCAGGTGTGCTCCAGGTGAGCTCCAGGTGTGCTCCAGGTGTGCTCCAAGTATGCTCCAGGTGTGCTCCAAGTATGCTCCAAGTGTGCTCCAGGTGTGCTCCAAGTGTGCTCCAGGTGTGCTCCAGGTGTGCTCCAAGTATGCTCCAGGTATGCTCCAGGTGTGCTCCAGGTGTGCTCCAGGTGTGTTCCAGATGTGCTCCAGGTGTGCTCCAGGTGTGCTCCAGGTGTGCTCCAGGTATGCTCCAGGTATGCTTCAGGTGTGCTTCAAGTATGCTCCAGGTGTGCTCCAAGTATGCTTCAAGTATGCTCCAGGTGTGCTCCAAGTATGCTCCAGGTATGCTCCAGGTGTGCTCCAAGTATGCTCCAAGTGTTCTCCAGGTGTGCTCCAAGTATGCTCCAGGTGTGCTCCAAGTATGATCCAGGTGTGCTCCAAGTATGATCCAGGTGTGCTCCAAGTATGCTCTAGGTGTGCTCCAGGTGTGCTCCAGATGTGCTCCAAATATGATCCAGGTATGCTCTAGGTGTGCTCCAGGTGTGCTCCAGATGTGCTCCAAGTATGATCCAGGTATGCTCCAGGTGTGCTCCAAGTATGATCCAGGTGTGCTCCAGGTGTGCTCCAAGTATGCTCTAGGTGTGCTCCAGGTGTGCTCCAGGTATGCTCCAGGTATGCTCCAAGTATGCTCCAGGTGTGCTCCAGGTATGCTCCAAGTATGCTCCAGGTGTGCTCCAGGTATGCTCCAGGTATGCTCCAGGTGTGCTCCAGGTATGCTCCAGGTGTGCTCCAGGTATGCTCCAGGTATGCTCCAGGTGTGCTCCAGGTATGCTCCAGGTGTGCTCCAAGTATGCTCCAAGTATGCTCCAGGTGTGCTCCAGGTGTGCTCCAGGTATGCTCCAATGTACCGATGAATTATACAATATTTGTGTATCCAATGTATGTATGGACTTTTGCTAACATAAAAAAATATTATTATTATTATTATTATTATTGTAAGCGGCCGTGTAGCCTTTGTAAATAAAGAGTGTAAGTGTGGTGGCCACGAGGTGGCCACCACACCAGTACTGTGGTGGCTACTGTCTCACTCCTCTCTCTCCAGTACCTCCTCATCTGGCCTGGGAAATGGCAACCTTGCTTCCCTCTGGTGTCCATGGGCCAGATTCACGAAGCAGTTACCCCAAGCACTTACGAACGTGTACATCTTTCCTCAATCTTTGATGCCTTTGGTTACATTTATTAAACAGTTTACAAGCATGAAAACTTGCCAATGAACTGTTGTTATTGTTATAAACAGCCTCCTGGTGCTTCGGAGCTCATTAACTGTTTAATAATTGTAAATAAAGCTGCCAAATATTGAGAAAAGATGTACAGGTTCGTAAGTGTTTGCGTAACTTCTTCCTGAATCTGGCCCCCAGCACTTGAAGCACCACACTGTTAAGATCACAAGATATAAACACACCAAATTATGAGATTTCAAACGTATACAAAATTAATCTTGGCTCGTCTTTTTCTGTACTAGGCTATGAGTTCTGTTGTAAAAGTCACATTTCTGGACACTTAACAGCCTGCGGGGACGGAAAAAGATTTGATTTATTGCCCCATTAAAATGCTATTTATTCATTTGTAACTAGGTGGGTAGGTCGACACAGTATACAAAGAGTGGGAAAATGTGATCTTAGACCACACTTCTGGTATTCTGACTACAAATGGGCACAAGACTGGCAAATGTTTTTTAACGTCGACAAGTGCAAGACCTTGAATGTGGGGCGTAGCAACCCACGCCTCAGCTACCAAATTAATAACATTACATTTAGAACAGATTGGTGAAGAAAAGGACCTTGAGTCAAAATCCACTATTCACTAAAAGTTGCACAACAGGTACGAGCAGCAGTTCAAAAAGCTAATCAAACACTTGCAGTAATCAAGCGTACCTTTGACTTTACGGAAAACAAGGTAATGATTTAGCTTTATAAATCTCTGGTGCATACATTTGGATTACTGTATCCAAGTATGGAGACCACATCTTCAAAAAAGACATAGCTGCTCTGAAGAAAGTGCACCACCGGGCAACAGAAGTCATTCCAGAGTTGTCATCTCTCCTATCAGGAACGGTTGAGGGCCACAGGGCTAACAACACTGCAAACCAAGCATGAGGGCGGATCTTATTGAAACTTTTAAAATAGTGAACAATTTGAAGGATGTTGATCCAGACAATTTCTTCAAAAGTTCAGATGTAACACGAACAAGGAGCAACGGTTTCAAGCTCAACAAGCCACACTGTAGGACTGTGAACAGGAGATGCTTTTCCACCCACAGGGTTATAAACGCATGGAACCGCCTACCCGCCGAACCCGTAAAGGCCAAAACTGTTAGGTTTTAAAATCCACCTGGAAAAAGATTATCAAGGCAAATTGAGGGGGGGGGGCCTTCGACAAGCCGCCAGCTTCCTGTCCTCATAGTGTTAGTGGCTCACAGGTAATCAGGACAAAATGTATCTGGAACCTATGATGGTACGAGAAGAATGTGCATAGACGAATGTAAAGAACGTAATGGAAACCGCGAATGTTGTTTGTGGTAGAAAGTGGTATCATCAGCAGTGACAAGGGAAGGGTGATGAATGTGGAAGCCTCGAGCTTCTACACCTGCCCAACCTTGAAGCCTCTACACAAGCCCTAGTCTGGAGCTTCTACACCCGCCCTAGTCTGGAGCTTCTACACCCGCCCTAGTCTGGAGCTTCTACACAAGCCCAAGCCTGGAGCTTCTACACAAGCCCAAGCCTGGAGCTTCTACACAAGCCCAAGCCTGGAGCTTCTACACAAGCCCAAGCCTGGAGCTTCTACACAAGCCCAAGCCTGGAGCTTCTACACAAGCCCAAGCCTGGAGCTTCTACACAAGCCCAAGCCTGGAGCTTCTACACAAGCCCAAGCCTGGAGCTTCTACACAAGCCCAAGCCTGGAGCTTCTACACAAGCCCAAGCCTGGAGCTTCTACACAAGCCCAAGCCTGGAGCTTCTACACAAGCCCAAGCCTGGAGCTTCTACACAAGCCCAAGCCTGGAGCTTCTACACAAGCCCAAGCCTGGAGCTTCTACACAAGCCCAAGCCTGGAGCTTCTACACAAGCCCAAGCCTGGAGCTTCTACACAAGCCCAAGCCTGGAGCTTCTACAGAATTCCAGGTGTTACCTAATATGATCTATGTCCACCAGGTCACCTCTTACATATAAAATAATGATGTTTGTTACCCAATGAGAATTTTTCTTATAGAATCTGTAAAAAAAAAAAACGCAGCAGATTCACCAACTTATTCGTACTACTTGCGTTGTGAAACAACTGAAACGAACCATACGACTGTTTTTTTATTGTTTAATGTAACTAAGAAAAAAAAGAGTTACATATTTGAAGGATGTGGCGTTGGGCAAAGTAATGTCAACATGGCAGGAGGCTGAAAATAGTATGCTGTGATCAGTATGCTGTGATCAGTATGCTGTGATCCGTATGCTGTGATCAGCATGCAGCGCGCGCATCTAACCCGCACATTTCTACGTTGCTAGGCTGGCAAGCGTCGCAGCACTTGCCAGCTGTACTCTCCTCTCCTCTCGGTGTATATACACTGACAGTTGACTTTATTCGTAGTATACCTGCTGCTTGGTCAGCAGGTCATGTTGGTGGCTTTAATAACCCTCCAGAGGCTGATATAGGTCTTAAGCCCAACACCAAACCAATTTCGTCAGCTCAGTGATGTATATATACCCCCCCTCCTAGAGGTATCCTTCCCGCTTCTCTGGGTTTACGCAGTTTACGCTACTCCCGGACAAGGTTCAGGACTATTCAGGCTTCGTTTAAAGCCAACCCAGCTCAAGCGCGCGTCCCCCCCCCCTGGCACACTATCTGCAGCCTCCCTTACCACCACCCGCATCTGCCCTTGCACTAACTCTTGCGTTAAAATGATTATTTAATATTTATTTAATAAGCCTCCGG